CTGAATATTCTCATACAATTGTTGGACATAGTATGCCAAACAGCTGCCTGGCACAGAATGGGCAGAGCAGAAACTGAATACTTCCTACAGTAACGGTTTAATTTAAAAATTAGTCCCCAAAGGGATGAAAATTCACTTATTTGAAAACCATGTTTCATCCTTTCTACATGGGAGAAGGGGATAAAGAACTAACCCAATGAGTGCTGGTTTTAGCATAATGTGCATTTAAAAAACACAAACTTTTTCTCTCATTTAATTTGTATGCTATTGGCTGGAAAGCCAGATGATGAGTTTAGGGTGAGGTCTAAAATAATACACCGTAAGTGGTAAGGGTCTAATTGGTTCTTAATGGAGAAAGTGGTTGCACTTCAGTAAACAAAACATATTAACTCTGGCCGATCGCTGGTCTTTTTACATAAAGAAAGGTAGCCAGTGCATAAAATGACAAGGACAACTTTACTCTCGTTGAAATAAAGGTGTTCCTATCCTGGCCCACCAAGCCCCAAGGACCTTATTCCTGCTCAGAGCAGACAATGCACAGAGAGGACCATAGGGCCGGCCCCATGAGGAGACATGATGTCCCTCACTGAACCATAGCACTATGAAGGACAATACTGGAGACACAGTGTGGGAATGGTGCCCAATCTGACCCCATCACACTGGGGTGAAACACCAAGGGTGTGCAACAGAGCAGCAAGGGGAGCAAAGTGATGAAATCCCCAGGGAACACCAAAAATAAACTTTGGAGACAGAGTGTGGCACCCCATCAGACTCCACTGGAAGGCACTGGTAAAGGCCAATGAACAGACCTTGAACTATTTATAGGCTTTTCCATTTTTATCAGTGGCTTTCTTTTGTTGTTGTTATTTTGGTTTTGGCTTTTTTAGTTGTTGTTTTGTGCTTATTATGCTTCTGCATGTGTATCTAGATAAGTGGGATAAACAATTTGGAGATGAAAAGAATGGGACCAATGGTTCCAGTGGAGTGGGAGGGGATATGGGAGAGGGGGAAGTAGGAGAAAGGAAGGTGGGGGTGGGGGATCAGCCCAGGGACAAGGGAACAACAAGTGAACTAAAATCAATGGAGAGAAGGGCATGGGATGACTAGTGAGGCTTGATCAAGGGCAATGTAGCAGTGAGGAATTGCTAAACCTGAATGAAGGCCAAACGTGATGGTGGGACAAGAGGCAAGTAAAAGAGGAAACCAGGAGGCAAAGGAAATTTATAGAGAGGTCTAGATACAGGCATATCCATATGTAAATATATCTATACATGAGAGGGAAATAGATCTATGTACTTATATCTATACATTAAGAATTAAGGTTTCAGATGGACATTGGGCCTCGACTCAAGTACTCCCTCAACACAAGAACACTCTGTTCTAATAATCCAGTATTCTGTGATGCTCACCTTCCTGACACGATCGCTGTGGGAAAAGAAAGTTGATGGTACCTGGCTATCAGAAGATATAGCACCCGGGGTCTTAAAGGCTTGAAGATAAACAAGTGGCCATCTAGCTGAGAAGCAACAAAGCCCACGTGGAAGAAACACACC